AACAGGAGGAGTTAGGCAAAAAGCCTCCAAAATGAACGAGTGCATTGCCACCTTCGGTCAATGCGGTGATGAAAACTCCCAGGCTCTAACCAGTCGACGATCTAATACTAATAGCCTAGACTGGCGTAAAGTGTCATGAAATTACATGTACATAATACATGTAGAAAGGAAAAGGACATACGGATACGAGTTAAGAGTAACTCTCCATCACTGTAACCAGATATATTATACAGTCAGAAAGTGCAACAACTAGGCACAAAACTGACAGAGTATTGAGACATTCGACGTCCTGACACCTAGCTTCAACACATCTCCGTAGCGCTAACTGATAGCCTTCCAACTCGGAAGGTTCAAGGGTATGGAAAAGACCAAAGAGGGGAAGGTAAGCGCAACGAAAACGAGCACAAGCTACAGTCCCAACGGAACAAAGAATTTCGATTGTTACTGGACGATGACGAAACCAGTAGGATACTTGACAAAGCGGTCTAACTACAATTCGAAGCAGCAAAGCAGCACACCACCCAACTTGGGTGGCTCATAAATATCAAAGATAAGTAAAGAAGGGGGAAGCTTTGCGAAAACGAATTGTACAAGCCGAAAGCCAAACTCCTACGGTACTCCTCATGCATGACATTGTGATGGACTAGTTGACTACAAAACAAGTTGTTTCACACGACGTAGATCTACGTTTCGCCGTATGGTTCGTGACGGCTCATCAGGTGTGCAATTTAAAACTCGGATTTTTGGGCCAATAATAAAGGTAGAAAGGAAAAGGACATATGGATACGAGTTAAGAGTAACTCTCCACCACTGTAACCAGATACTACATGTACACACAGTCCCTCTTTGGTCTTTCCATAACCTTGAACCTTCCGAGTTGGAAGGCTGTCGGTTAGCGCTACGGAGATGTGTTGAAGCTAGGTGTCAGGACGTCGAATGTCTCAGTACTCTGTCAGTTTTGTGGCCTAGTTGTTGCACTTTCTGACTGTATTATAGTATCTGGTTACAGTGATGGAGAGCGTATCCATATGTCCTTTTCCTTTCTACATTTATTATTGGCTCAACATCGAGTTTTACATATACATGTACATGTATGTAGTAGCGTTCATACTGAATCTGTGATGTCTTCGTTCTCCATGATTGACAATAATAGGCCGATGGCAGTGTATGTAGGTAAGTTGAGCTAAACTCATTCCTGTATCTACGGAACTCGGGGAATGTCCAATGTGTTGTTTATCGTCACTCACGAAAGGGAATCGGACTGTTCGTATGTGATTTATGATACGTACCTGTACGTGGCAAGTTGCGCAATTATTTCAAGGTTCCACAATCAGCACGTGGAAGTACATGTAGAGTACACGTACTGTGACGTAGCTGGGTGCTAGGAGCAATGCGTAACCGTCAGGACTAGACACTGAACATCTGACTTTCGTGTCATGTGGCAGGAACTTTCTTCCCAGCTAGAAGGTGAGCAAAAAAAATGAAAGGAAAAAGAAGGTGAGCCATGGCTTCACTGGGTTTTTCCCGTAGAACAAGAGGCAAATTGGATACTACATTGTAGTAGTACTACATGTAGTAGTAGTTAGGTGAGCTGTAAACCTGTCACAACGCTTGACTGCACACTCCAGCAGAAACGAAGGGGATAGTACAGACTAGAGAATGAAGTCTTTTGGGGTCACCGACAGTAACAGCACTGAGTGATGTTCAACGTGACATCTCCTTCAAAAGACATCTGGAATGCCAGACCGGTATTTTTTCTGCTTTGGTCAGTATGGAGCAGACAACACGCAACGGCTGAAGTGCCAGTACAGTATACTACATGTAGTAGCAGGCAGTACTGCAGTAGCAGGCATGATGAGCTGCATGTACATGTACATGTCATTAAGCAGTATTATGTAACAATACTAACATGTAAATCATAAATTTTTAATTAAAATAATTGCTGAGTAGTTGCTGCAAGTGGTGACAGAAACAGCAATAATGCATAATCAAGGAGCATAGTGCCTCTCCTCGTCCCTTTCATTATCATGCTTACGATGTGAACTGCACATCTGTTCGTCGTCATTTTGAGGACTCCCTGATGTACATTGGACATGTAAAATGTAGATCTACACGGATTTCGTAACCATGTTACTGTGCCGTGTGGTGCAGGCTGCACCCAGCGGCTAGCAACGCGTGTGTCTTCGTAGCACTTTCATCATGACTGTACTGGAAATGGAGAGTAGAATTGACGGGAGGGGAGGGGGGGGGGGGGCGGGGGGGGGGGGGGGTGGGGTGTTGTTTTGTTGTTGGTGTTGTACGCTACCGGCTGCATGCATGTACTGGTACATATGTAGTTCCAGGGAAGAGGGAGTTCTTCCTAGTCTGCACGCTGACGGTGTAGGGCTAGCTTTAATCACAGATTGTATTTTGCTTTTGGGTTTTAAATTTTTTTTTCTGGATTTCCATTTTGTATTGCATTACACGTGTCTTCCTTGTCTACGATGCACCGCGCGGAATGCTTGGGATGCTGATGATAGAAAAGTATTTCATTATCATATTTATTACTCGGATGTTGAGCCAATAGCATTCATGTAAGAGAGAAAGGACCAATGAGACAATAGTTAGTTATAACTTAATAATGATAATAATAATAATAAACACAGCCCGCATCTTCCCTGAACCTGTTAGACAGGAGCAGGGGCGACGCATTTGTCAGCAGTGTCAAGCCAAATCGTTAGTTACGAGTTATGAATGATAGTCCACCAATGAATCCAGATACAGTAATAGACAGTCAGATAGTGCGATAACACTATTATAGTATTAACAGGGCACAACACTGACAACGGTACTGAGACATTCAACGACCTGATTCCAACACATCTAGGAAGTGCAAACCAAAAACCTTCCAACTTGGAAGGCGCAGGTGCGGAAAGTTCCAATGAGGAGAAGGGAAGCGCCACGAACACTCAACATCCCGCACCTGAGCATTCCAAGTAACTAACGTTAGTTGGAAGGTTGTTGGTTTGCACACCGTAGATGTGCTGACTGTTGGGGTAGGTGTCCGGTCGTTGAATGTTTCAGTACCCCTTCCAATTGTGTGCCTTGTTGTCGCACTATCTGACTGTATAATTACCTCGTTACCTTGGTGAACTGACAGTCTTTTAGTCACGGATACAATGTACGTGTAACTCGTAACTAATAATATTGGTCTTTTCTCTTTGTACTACATGTACCATGTACCATGTACCATTTTTCAATATCAATGTTCGTATTTCGACCCGCCATTCGTACTTTTTTGGGCTGTGAGTATAGCAAGAGTATCATAAGCTCCCGCGGGAGCTTATAGCTATTATACTCTTGGTAGTAGTCTGTGTAGCCAGATATTCATACCAAACACATAGTACTAGTATTAATCCTGGTACATTTACATCATCCAGCATGAAAACAAAAGATGTTGAAGAAAAACAGAGCCTAAAGTTAAGTCCAAACACTCTGACTCGACAGAAACGGCAACTCTTCGCTACCTTGTTGGGAAGAAACTCCCGTTTGGATTGGCGACATAAAACAAAAGTCATCATCATCATCATCATCATCATCAACTGAGGTCTTGGTTCTGAAACCACCAGTGCGATGGCATGGACAAGACAAATCCACAGGTGACCAACCTTGCACATGCGCTTGGTTACAAGTCCTGGGGGTGGGGCGCTATTCAAGAGAGGGCTTTGTTTTTTGACTGGCTCTGGGAGACAGGGGCAATATTCGAGATAAGGCATTGTTCAAGAGAGGGCTCTAATCGCGAGATCATCCGGTAGGTCTACATGTAGACCTGTAGATCCACGTGTACAATAATGAACTGATAGAAATGTTTGTTGTAGACGTGACAATCTAGGAGAGCACTGCAAGCACACACTCACTGCTTCCCTCACTGCATCTGTGTTTGGCTGAGAATGGACAGCATTCGCAAGCCGGCAACTACGCAATCGTTCATCGTTGATTGTTGTGTGCTTATGCATTTAGCAATCTTTCTAAGGACAAACGGTCTTTCGGCCCAATTCACATACATGTACATGGACGTGACTTTTCCTCGAGCCGTTGAAGAGTGCTAAATACTTTTACAAGGTGTTCATGAACTCAAGATTCGCGTGCCAGACTTCTGTGGTGGCAGGTTTTGGAATTCCATTAACCATGTTAACAGTATTCACTATTCACGAAATAGATTCGCTATACGCAATCATTATGCTGAGTTCCCAGCTTTACCGACAACGAATATGCACCACTCGGACCACGCTCCCGATCCCTGACACCAAGACTAAAGTGTTAAAAGCCCGCGAAGTATGACATACATGTACATGATTGTAGTCTGCACGACCCTAGCCTAGGCCCTTTTCGAGAGACGAGAGTGCATGTACATGTATATCGATCCTTTTTCAACCCACTGACATAATGAACCGGACAGCACTACACTTGAACCCCTTCAGTATCTTCACCCAAAACTGGTGGTCCTTGTTGCGGACCTTACCATACATGTCCGAGCAGTCACATAATCATTTCTTAGTGGGGAGCCTTGTTGGAGTTGAACTAATATACAATGTACAGTGCTGGCAACTGAAATCCGACCCCCTGGGCGGCGCGCCGCACCGCCCAGGGGGTCGGATTTCAGTTGCCAGCACTGTAGTATTACAGTACACTGGTGACAGTAAAATGAATGACATCATGAGTTGCCAGGGAATGCTGAGACAGGATGCTGATACAAGCAAATATTGCAGTGTAAAACGATGGCCGCTAACGCCCGGTAAACCCTAGCGCAAGCCCAACTCGTGGGAACCGAACATCTTTGACTTTCATTACAAAAAAAATACTAGTTGACGTGCTTGGAACTCTGTTGATAATCTCAGGCCGCCAGGCGCTAGGCCAGCCATTGTCGTATCCATGGCGACAGTTCGCCATCAACAAGCAGCTAGCTGGGAAACCCTGTGCATGCATGCAGAAAGCATTTTCCCATCCATCACCACTGGATCTGTGCGTTCAACATTTTTTTCAATGATCACAGCTCACAGGCTAGGCAAAGACAAAAATTGCATGGTGGGAGCATAGTGATGGTGAGGCTTTTCGCCCTCAGCTCAGCCGACCTGAGGTCTCAACGTCTGGGGACATAAATCGCACCAAAAGGAAAGAAGAAGAAACAAATGAAACCGGGAGTGCCAGGTACATGATACGAAATGTTAGGAGGAGAGACAGTACATTTGAAGGAGGGAAAGATAAAACAGCCAGTGTTAGGAGGAGAAAGAGAGAAAAGAAGAGCAGACGTTATTGGGAGGAGTATGTGGAGCGGAATTTGAAAGTCATGGGGTGAGCCAGATATGATGCCGATACTCAGAGATGGTCATGTGCCCACGACCAGTCGTTGGTCTTCAAATAGCGGTTGGCTGCAACCTTGAAATGTTGCAAGTTCTAGTGGTAACACACACACATGCTCAGGTCAAGGCCGTGAGGTACGAGTACGGTAAGGAAGAATTGGGCCGCAATGGTGAACATGTATCCTGCCCGGGTCTAATATCCACATGCCACTGTACACACTGTACCACATTGATTGGATATACATGTAGCTCAAGTCATCACACAACAATGAGGTCAAAACAAGGTAAAGAGTTTTAGAAGATCGAGTTCTGGTCTCAAATTATCCCTTTGAAGATTATACTCTACTAAAAAATGTTGACAAAAGTACAGGCTTCGGTGATGCATGATTGACTGGCACATGCTTCTGCTGCATGTAATGTGTGCTGGAATAATTTCAAAAGTCTCAGTTTCCCACAGCATCGGTTGTCTCAAGGCCTGATCTAGATTTGCGCCATTTCAATATTAATTTCAGGGTAAGAATGAAGGTAAAGAGATAATAGTCAAGGTTCTCAGAAGAATGAAGCTGTGCAGTGTATGAAATCCTATCGGGTGATTTTGAAGCACAATCATAATCAAGATGTTTTGTGCCAGCCCAGTGGGGCCACTATGAAGTATGATTGCACTAGTGCTGTACTCATAGTTTCAGCAGCCAAGTAGTACAAGACTTAGTACTGTAGTACTGTAGTACTGTAGTCTGAGGTTCATTTGGACAGTGTGCAAGCGGCTGGTTTGAGGATCCAGTCATCCAGTCATCCCCATGTGCAGCTTGCAGGTTACTTGTACACACGTAGGCAAGCATAAGGTGGAGCTGTCATTCAGCAAGAGACTCAGAGTCTAGATGGGTGCCTGCAGATAAACTGTAAGTGTTGCACACCGAACCGAGGGCTTCACATAATGCTATGCAGGTGCAACTCAACTCGGCCGGGCTAAACCAGGGAATAGCTTGTGCTGGTGCATGTTCTTCCGCCTACTCTCCATCAACAAAATCCTGTGGCGGGGCTGATGATGGTGGAGTAGGTACTGCACACATCACGTCTGGATCACTCCACATACCTCCACTCTGGCAGAACAGCGTGCCATTTGAGCCCACGAGCTGAGCGCCGCGATGGCAATTCACTGAGCACGTTGATCCGTACGTGTAGATTGTGAAATCAGAGCCGCAGCTGGGACTGGCATTCGGTATCCGCAGCGTCGGGCAGTCAAGCTGACACGCTGGTATCGTGTCCGGGTTCCACTGGCCTTTGCTGGAGCAATTCAAGATGATGTAGGTCTCCGCATGGTCTACTATGCGGCCGCTCACGCAGTCGACCCGGCAGATATCACCAAGCAAACCCTGGTTGCTAGTGCAGTTGGTGTAAGTCCCCACTGACGTTACCAGGCCACAATCAAGCAATGACAGCTCGCCAGGTAGAAGTGGAAGAGCGGTCAACGATGACGACTCAGGCTCAACGTAAAGACGCACCAGCTCAATATATCCAGTGCCGAACTGTGTTTGTGTTGTCGGCAAGTCTCCACCAATTTGCAGTGAATATGTCGACGCTCCGTCAATCTTTTTGGTGAAGAGAAGATTCGTGGAGCGGTTCCAAAGTGACCGCCTGCCATTGATGAAGCAACGTGTTGCTGACTGCCCATCGCGACTGACAGTGAAATGCCGCCATGCGTTGGCTTGGCCGCTGTGAACACAAGTTGCACAATCACCGGCAATGCACACTTGCATGGAGATCTCGAGCAGAGAATTCAACATCACTGACCCAGCCGTGAGTGAAACCGAAAACCCAGCCAGGTCCGATATACCGGCACTGAGGGTGGCTCCGCCACTATAATGAATTATTGGAAATGACAAGCCGGCCGGTATTGCTGCCCAGAAGTCGAGATGAAACGCGCGCGATCCTATACGAAACGCACTTCTGTCCGGATAGCTGACATAGTATGGTTGAGTGAGTTGGATTGTCGAGGTGACCGCAAGTCGTGGGATGGCAGCTGGTGGCATGGGCTCTCTGCTCATAGAGATCACCACACCGGGGTGTATAGTCGTGTTCTGCAGTGGGCCAGTCGTACTGTGAGCTTCAAAACTTGTGTCCGTACTGAACCAGGGTGAGAAGAGATAGAATGCTGCTGAGTACAGCTCACTATTCACCCAGCTGATTGACTCCACGGCTGGCTGTGCGGGGAATCCCCGATACTGCCCACTGCCCGTTGCTGGGCCGGCCACCACTTGCAATTGCTCAGTAGGTGAATACACTAGCCTCTGATCTGCGGGCAGTACAATGATATGCACAAACTGACCAATTTGCCAGTTATCAGGAGTGAACGTTAGGTTATTTGGAGTCATCTTCAGCAGATTGGATGGCGAGTTAGCGCTTAGCACTATGGGAACTTCCACATTGTCATCTATGCGTGAAGCAAGAGACACAGTCACCTGTGCAGTGGACGGGTATCCCGTGAGATGTGATTTAGCGCTGACAGCAGCGGTGTCGATGCTGACCGTGATGACTAGCGGTACGCAGACGCTTTCAAACCCTGACCACGTGCCAGTGGACGTACACGTTCTCTGTGCAGTGTACGCGTGTTCAAGGCTGTAACCAGGTGAGCATGATACAGTGCACAGTCCACCTACTGTGTAGCCGCTGCAGGATATCTTTCCCCGGACTGGAGCCCGCAGTGGAGGACAAGCAAAGTAGTTTTGCTGGTGAGGCGGTAAGAATGGATGGACGGTAGCAGAAGAATACCTTGACTCACCCACAACCACCCGCAGCAGATCAAACTCCAATCTGGAATGAGTGCACAGCCGCAACGTCGAATTTGCTCGTGGTCCATCAGGACCTGTGCCCAGTTGTATTGTCTCTCGTTTCACGCCATCCACAAAGCAAGTGACTTGAGGTGATGACGGTGACAATGACTTGGCAAAAGCTACATGTCGCCACTCATTCGGTGCAATGGCTGCCGTGTATACTTCACCCAGGACGTCAGCCGTTCGGTTCACTACGCACTGCCAGCAAAACCCAGCGATGCACAGCTGTGGTTCGTAGTGTCCATCTCCGAGTGAAGACACGGGAAACTGAAGTGAAACTTCCTGCGGACTGCCCGAAGAACCATACTGCAGCAGCTGCTGTTTCTGCCCACCTGGGGATGCTTCACCCAACAATTTCACCCACACATCAACACTGAAAGCCGAGCTGGCCAGCTGTTGGATAGTGTTCCTATCTGAGTACTGTAAAAGAGGTGAGCTCTGGTTGCCCGCACTGTCACAAGAGAATGTCGGGCTCAGTGTACCCGATGCAGACACAGGGAGGCGCTGGGCACTTGAAGATGTCTCATTGATAGGAAACCGCTGTGAAGATGGAGACCTGGGAGAGAGAGAGAGAGAGAGAGAGAGAGAGAGGGAGAGAGAGAGAAAGAGAGAGAGAGAGAGAGAGGATGGGAGAGAGGGAGAGAGAGAGAACAAGAATGGGTGAGAGAGATTGAGTGTGCGTGTATGTGTTGTAGAGGAATTGAATTCAGTAAAGTGGTAGTTTTGTTATACTTATTGCGTCGGTTTTACTTCATAAAGAAAGGATGGTAATTATGTCATCTTCATTGTTCTGGATTGTACATTGAATCGTCTCCATGCTAACAGAAACATTATAATTGCCGGAATGCCCATATCTCATCAGTTATAGCTTTCACTACACAGTATCATAACAAGGCTGCACGCCCAGATTTTATTTTCCTAGGATGGAAACTAATGAAGCAATTCCACCTCCTAGTATGGAAACTACTAGAAACTACAGTTCTATTATTCAATGTCAACAGTCAGGAAAGTGAATTGCAAGAAAAGCGAAAAATCACAACGCCACCAGGATGCGAACCTGGGAAACTGCTTGTTGTCGAGAAGTTCGGAACTCGCAAACTCTCGATGGATCTACCAACACCACCAGGCACAGGCTCTGCTCAATTTACACGCTCGTGGTGATTTATCGTAGGTACACGTACATAAATAATTAGCTTGTCAACCAGTGCTACAATCGAAGTAGAGCGAGGAAAACTCCATGTCACTACCAAACTCATAACCAAAGAATAATCTCCAAAACACATCCCAAAACAGTGAGTCGACTCCTGTACATTCGCAAGCTGTACGCACGTGTATGAGTAAACACAGTGCATGCGCACAACAGAGAGTACCAAGTGTGCGCAACGACTATCTATGATGCAGCACGCGTGGACATAGTTTGTGAGCTTCACGACACTTGTCATGAGCGGCAGTTGGTTGTAAACCATTTTTAGTGGTACCAAAGCTGGTGATATTCTGACCATTTCAGGGCAAAGGAGAGGAGTCCGGATATACAATTGCCAATTGCTTTGAAATAGTATAACATCGACTGTCATAGGGGTAATCAGTAGGGTCACGCTAAAACATATTTGCCGATATGTGCATGGCTGCGTATCCCTCCGCCGGAAAGTGAAAGAGCTATGTGGGCATTACTAGACAATTCGAAATGAACAGCCCTACAATAGTGTAGCTAATTTTCTTCTGGAAAAGGAATATTATCTCAATTTATCTGTTACCGAGAAATTATTATAATTTCCGGCTTTAAAAGGCTGGCACAACAGGGTACACACGAAACATTTACCGTATTTTACCGGTTGTAAGTCGATCCCGGTTATAGGTCGACCCCAGTATCCCTAGGTCTCAATTCTCGATTTTAAAGTTATCACCCAACGAAGCACTACTAACGACTCCCTGCTACTAACATATCAACAAACCATGTAAACATTCCTTATTGGAGGGTATAACGTCCCATTCCTTGAAAAAAATGCCAATAAACTGGCAGAAACGTGTACACAAGGTGTACTCGTGCATGCAGTGCAGGTCATTTTTGTGAGATACTGATAGTTCCCGGTTATAAGTCGAATCCTAGTTGCAAGTCGACCCCCACCCTTTCTCTTTCTATTTTTAGTCGAAAAAAGTCGACTTTCAACCGGAAAATACGGTATTAAAGAACATATTTCATTTGTTTTAATGCTCTTACGTTTCGCCAATCTGCCTTGCGGAATCCATGAATGTATCGGATGCTGTCTGGTGAGCAGCAGCTAGGATGAACTCTGCAACATACGGCTCACTATCCACAATAGTAACGTCAATGCTGCTTGACTGTCGCGGAAATCCACTATAGTGTGCGCTGCCGATTGCTGATTCAGCCGTGAGCTTGCCAGAGACCTGCAAGTTCTCCAGTAGCTGATTATCGCCAGTTGAGGCCAGTGTAACCGACTTGGTTTGATTGGTTACACCTGCGGTAAAGGCTAGTCCATCTGACGGTGTTAGCGACACCGGTAAACTACCAGCCTGCACCGGTACTCTTAAATCCTGGCTGAGAGGCTCAGGAATCGTGACTGCCACCGCGGCATGCGATGGAAACCCCGTGCTGTTCGTTTCTCCGATTTGCACAGTTCGCGTGGGTATAGTGTATTGAAGGACAGAGCAGCGGAGTGGGTCCGGGCTCCAGTTGCCGCTAGCCTGACACTTGACGGCATTGCTGCCCGCCAAGCTGTAGCCCCTTGAGCAGGTGTAGCGACACGTCGAGCCGATCGTGAACGCCTGTCCGTCGCAGTCGTGCACACCGTTGTCCAGCAGAGGCGGTGCAAGGCATTCGGCCGGGCTCACAGCGACGGCCGCAGTCAGAGTGAACGGCTGGCCAGTGTACTGGACATGATCATCACTGGCACATAGCAGAGACGCAATGTCAAAGCACTGGTAATCATGGCAACAGACCTGAACACACCAAATAGGAGTAGGATCATATCAAACACCAGAGAGCATGTTACATGGACAAACAACGCACATGACACATCACTGTCTTTCACTGAATAGTGGAAGAAGGATTGAATTGTTACCTGTAGGGATCGTGGATGTGACCCAACCCCACCCCCAAATAAAGCTGTCATCAGTGCCGATAATGTGGACATCCACATGCAGGAATGTGTGTGTGTGTGTGTGTGTGTGTGTGTGTGTGTGTGTGTGTGTGTGTGTGTGTGTGTGTGTGTGTGTGTGGTGTGGTGTGGTGTGGTGTGTGTGTGTGTGTGTGTGTGTGTGTGTGTGTGTGTGTGTGTGTGTGTGTGTGTTTGTCTCTCTGTCTCTCCTCATTCTCAGCACTATTAGGCCATCATTTTTTATATCTATGTTTCGCGTCAGGTCAACTTCCAGAATCATATGCGAGAGGTGGAAAAAAAATAAAAAGTTGCAAAATTATAAAAAAGGCTCATCAGAGGTGTATGCACTGTACATAGCACAAAAGCTCGTGCATGGTGTACATTCGAAAGAAAAATCGTACATCGAGGCACAACATCTTGGTTATCAGCATGAGTAAATATTCACTTTGGACAGAGGAGGCAACCGTTGGTGCCTATGCTTCGCTGGATTATTGTGCTCAGACTTCAGCAGCGGTGCAAAGAGCTCCGGAACGACGCATCCTCTCAGCTTGAGGCGATCAATGCGGTCTGGTGTAAGCTCATAGAATATTGCTCCCAGATGCCGAACAAACAATTTACCAATGCTGGCCTAGAGCCTAGTAGAGGCCATTTCTGAATCCCAGCTTCGCCGTATGCAACCAGTCCACACTTATGACTCGCACGATCGTACATTCACTGTGCATGTTCGATTTTTTTTATTTTTTTCCAAAAAAAATCAAAACGTATGCGTGCGGACGACGCGAAACATAGCTATAAAAAATGATGGCCTTAGGGTCCACTGTCTGCTCCAGAGCCGGGTCAGCTGGGTCAGCGACCCGGTTGGGGGGGGGGGGGGGGGGGACTTGGAAGCGTTTGGCAAAAGAACACTATGTCACTTGTGACCTGGTTGGGAATACATGTACATGTCATATGCTACACATACAAGGTACATCAGCAGGGGCGTCGCACACGGTACGGTCACTGCCGTATTGACCGTACCACTTTTTGCCCCAGGTGCCAATAAAATACACTGATCTGTGATCTAAATTTCCAAAATCTTTGGCTCGGCCACCACTCCCCCACGAGTAAATTGTACTTCAGATAGTTGACCGTACCACACTAAAGTACCTTCCGACGCCCCTGATCAGGTTGTTCTAAAATATTTACAGCTCCCTGATGCACATGCAGTAGGGTCACTTGAACGTACCCCGGCTCTGACCCGGTTGAAAGTACATATTCTACATGTACATCAGACAGAGAGTCCTAAAATATTTACGGCTCTCTGGCGTACATGCAGTAGGCTGACTTGAACGTACCCGGCTATGACCCGTTGGAAGAGTTGTCCCAGGTACACGTGTACCTGGTTGGTTTGAAATCCTAGAGCAGACACTGGCCGGGTCATATTTGTATTTCAACATCATCAAGTTGTGTTTCCTGCCGGGATTAAACCATTTCCACTGTGCCATGGATACTGCGCAAACCCTTGCACGTAGACAGCACACACTCGTCATAATTCTCTTCTCCTGGAGGCCTACCTACCTGTATGAAGGCATGCAGCACCTCGTCTTGTGATGTTCCGTTGGCTCTGAAGAGCAGAGTAGTGCCATCGAAGTCAACTGTGAGATCCACAACGGCGTTTGGTGTTACGGCTCCACTAGATGTCAAACGTAGCTGAGTTATTGCATAACATAGTCTGGGATTGCTCGACACCAGGACCTGCAGGGAGAGTGGATCATACAATGCACAGAAGTAGGATGGTATGGCAATAATTATGTAACTATAACTTAGAATAAAAGCAAGATTTGTTGGACTTGAGGCAGCATCACAAAATTAATGTCAACAAGGATTCTAGGGAAAGAGTCTCGCATGACACATCATCGAGAGTGGCAGCAGAGCCGAGACAGTTATCCAAAACCGGCACGAGCAGTCGAGGTTTGACTTGCAACAAATAGTATATACAGTACTGTACAGTACTGATGCAGCTGTGTACCTGCACATACTATGTGCAATGTGCAACCTTTACATTCCTACCAAGTGTAGGTTGAGTACTAGCACAATAGCACCAAAGAGGACACGTTGCTTCTCGTAATTTATTACCGTATGTCAGCACATTTAAAGCCATGGCCTTATATTCGAAACACCGCTGCTTTCCTAGCTATTTTAGATGCAAAATGACTCGCCCATTACGCCATGCCATAAAAATCAAAGTCCGCACAGAAACTTCAAACGAAATCCATTTGTTCACCCTTCCTGCTGGGCTGAAAGTTTGTTATTATAATACTTATTCCTTCATTTTCACAAAACATACTTCAAATGTCATTTCATTTAGGAAGCCCATGGCTTTATAACTAAGACTGGCCTTATATTCAAATATACCTCCATGGCTTTAAAGGTGCGGACATACGGTATGTGTGACCGTGTCTACACATTGATCCTATCAAACAATAAGAGGATGGAATAAGTGTTTTAACCCTGAGTTTCATACACTAAGCGATCATGAGAAATCAGTCTATTGGTAGGACTGGCTCTGCCTCTCGGTATTGAGCACTCTCTTGGACAGCCTGGAACCTGTCTGCTTTACATTGATGCTATCATGTTGTTCTGTGTCAGGATTGTTACAACGTGTCCAAGACGATCACAGCATCACAACTGCAGCATAAGAAAAATGACAGGCGTGGTACTGTTGTCCGCCTTGCTTAGGGAAAGTGAACAGTGAAGTCCATCGCAGAGCAATTCTCACCTACCTGAAGCTGTGGGTGTGCAATACTGGTGTAGGAGTGAATGCTGGAATACTCCTTTGTCAACATGGTACTGTTTGATACTACACAGAAAGTGAAGTTACGGCCACTCTCGCATCTGCAGCAAAGACACACAAAAACAAACACACACACACATGTGTGCACATGCATGCACAGACACACACTCCTTTGACGTTTGACCTTTAATGCCCATCACCGGAGGTGATGACAGCAATGCTGCAGCAGAAGCCATAGTAACTTGTGCTGTGATTGCACCATACAGCAGCTTGCAAGGCTGAAGAATTGATCGCCACTATTCAGCCTGGTCCACATCGCACAGTTTTTATAAGTAGATTTTCTGGCCAGTGAATCCCTACCTTTGGGTCTGCGTTCCTTTTCTCCTTTCCTCTTCTTTTATTTGCTCGTGCACACACACACACACACACACACACACACACACACACACACACACACACACACACACATCACACCACATACTCCAGCATGCGCTGGCTGTGGGTAACAGTCAGGATAAAAGATGGCTCAATGGGCTATAGAACCAGCCAACAACTGACAACCCCCGGAGGATCTCCAACCTACGGGTGGACTTTAAAAAAATATGACCTCCACTTATGGGCTCACCACACCGCAGTAAGTGCCAGGGGATAAGGTGCAGAAAAAGGATTGACGGCATCGGGCACGTACGTAATACTGCTTCAAAAAGCTCAATCATTCCTTGTCGGCATGAACTGAAAGTTACCTGGCAGCAGGACTCCATGTACTGCAAAGTGTTGCACTGCTGTCTCCACACGTTCTGTCCATTGAACCACATCTATCTGTCGAAGCCTTGGCAGCGGGAGTACTTGCTACATCCAAGTCTAGTGGAATGTCTGCTGCAGGATCTTCTATGCTTGATGTTGGTGTTCCAATGCCAGGTACATCAGTGCTCGGCATAACAGGATCGGAGGATGGATCGGCACGCTGTCCCCGCGTGTAACATACACACACTATCACGCTCAGCAGGAAGAGATTGGCAATGCGGGAGAGCATGTGTCGCCTGCATAACAACTCCATGGTGACGCCTGCTTTGACCAGATGTCAGTCACATGGTAGTCACGTATCGAGGTTCGCTTGTCGTTCACAGTCCTTGTCATGGATCACTGTCTAGCTTTCACCTCCCTGGAACCACTCAGGGCACAGATAGAGCATGATAGCGGAAGAAGATTAAAGTTCAAGTGCACAGTTAGGGGTTATGGTGCTTGCAATGTATACCGTAAATGTTCACCCTATCGTGTCATTCTCACCTCCCAGCGCAACACAAGAGTTTCAGGCACGTTGGAGTAAGGGAAATCATGATCCTACTTTTGCAGCTATAATAAACACATCAAGTATGATAACATCGTGCAATTATTGACGGGAACGATGGCCTGCTTTCATTCAGTGACCGTCGACCTTTATCCCCGTGACTCTTTTATACTGTAAACTGCTTGATATTTGGAACGTAGGTCTATGAGAATGTTTGTTGTTTTCACGAGAAGAGCGTAACAGGAAGAAAGGAATAGAATTTCGTGACACAAACATTGCGCGGTTTACAGGATGTTGCGAGGCGTGTCCGCACCTGGCAACATGCTGGCCGCCATGCTGCATGCATAACGTCATTCCAGCGAATCCCTTCTGCCACTGATCGCAACAAATGATTGGAAAGAGGAAGCGGGTTACAGCCACATGCAGTTACCGCTTCCCTTACGATCAGCTCTCATCTCCTTCGCTTCAAATTCCTTTACAGTAGCTGTTTTTTCCTTGAGTTGCTATACTAACAAAGCTAGCGGCTGTTTCGTCGACGAGTGATAAGTTACTGGTCGAATTCGTCAGAAAGAAGCCGCCAACTAAAACTCTCAGACTCATGCTGCCTCCGAATTTCCGACCCGAGGCTACAATAGGCTACATGTAGTGTAGTTCTAGCAATTGAACGATCATATAGACGCGATGATCCATTCCCCGGTTACTGTCGGTTCGTGACTCACCTCCCAACCTATCGTATCAGTGCCATGCCGCCATCAACGAGCTCTCGACCGCGAAGGTTTTTCTTCCCAGCTCGGCCAACAACCTCCTACAAATACCTGATTGAACTACGGAAGTGAGATACAAATAATTATGGTTACCGATACACAGAAAGAGGTCGAACTGTCCCAGTCGTTCCTGCATTTTTCAAAGTCTATCTTCCATTCAATCTCGGTTTGCTTTCTACCGGAGTTGCTAGACCTGTTAGCGACGCCATTTGCGCTCCACAGGGCCCTGGCCATCAAGTTTATATCCCATGGGCACCTTCACATAATCTGCAAATCATTGCATTATTTACTAACTAGTTACATGTACTTGCCAGCGTGATCTTGGTGGTTCATTCCAAATAATGTTTCGCGCGGCATTACTGACTAGCGCTAGCGCTAATCATGCATACCTCATGCCATGGTTAGCATACCTCATGCCATGGTTAGCAGCAGGAAGTCGTATAAAACTAAAAGTAAAAGGGTTTATACGACTCCCTGGTTAGCAGCTCGTCATGTATGCTATTTTTGACTTTGGAGGGTAGATTGTGGACTAATACAAACCTTGTAATTAGTGGATTTGATAAAGTTATCATCAATGTGTCACGGTGTTGTGGATTTTCACGTTAAAGCGTTTATTGATCACCCTACTTTGGTCCAAAATTCGCAACGTTCAAGCAACATCAGTCAGTTGATCATAGCTAGTGTGAGTCTGACTCTTTACGAAATAACACAGAAACTCTCTTAGTAGTGAACACGTCCCTGGATTGAAAGGAAAGCCAGGATGTTACTAGCAGTTGACTGCAAAGAGACGGAATACAATAAGTACATGTGCGTGCACCATGGCATAGTGTGATACGATGATCCAAGTCCAGTTCAGATCAGGCCAACGACAACTGTGACTGTGTGAGTGTGCCCTGTCATCCGGACAGCGCTGTGCCTATTTTCGCCCAGGAAGTGGTAGGGTGAAGGGAATGGAGGTAAACACGCTGGCCTCTCGAGCGTCAAGCGACAGCTGCACATTCTGCAGCGTTAGTCTAGATAGGTTGATGCTTCGGATTTCGTTGCGCAGCGCTGTAGAGGTCGTGGAGGAACGAAGCCACTTCTTGAAGTACATCGGTGCGTGCAATGTACACGGACATGCACTGGAATGGCTACCGAATTCGAAGTGCTCATGCAGCGGATGCTATGGAACACAATTTACAAGGTATGCAAGTCAGTACAAACCATAAGGAGCCACAAAAGGATGTTCCTTCCTCGCGCGCGCGTGAGCGGCACGGTATCGAGACAGTCCCCAACATGATTTTCACATGTGGCGGCGCTTCGGCCGGATGTGGATCTATCACTGCCAGCCTTACTCTCCGGCCATAATGGCGCCAAGTCAGCAATGCGTCGATTAGCGCCGAAATCGGAAGGGCGAAGATAATAGTCATGATACAATTAATAATAGTGACCAATTATTATTTCGAGAGCAACGCGCCTCGGCCTCGTATCGTCGCTGGGTCTTGCGAGATGCTAGTCGTACTACAGTCGTAGGGATTTAAATGGCCCACTGGCATTGGGGACTCTTCACCAATGGCAATGGCAATGATTATGATGAGCCTAGTCCACAATGTCAATGAGTGGTCCAGCAGATCTACCGTCCAGGGACTGACTGTTGTTTCCAAACAGATTGTCCCCTGTAACTGTAAGGCTGTAGAGAATACTGTTCTATAGTCTAGAATATTACCGGTATGTGCAGTGACGGTGATGAGATGTGTAATCAGTATTAGGGACCATCGCAAAAGTTCGCAGAAGCCCCTGAAACGAAGAGCATACGTTTGGGGGGGGGGGGGGGGGGGGGGAGGGAGTCGGTGTCGAAAATCGCAAACCGGGCTTCAATTCAAAAAAGTATTGACGACATGTAGGAGCTGATATAGATTAGCATGCTCAAAGGATACAACTGCATAGCTCTAGCTGTTCTCGTTCTTAGATCACCCACTGCAAGGTGATATCATCGTTGCATTTATAAAGTGCTGTACATTGTTACACACTGATACAACAATGCTTGTGTAGTATATTATAATAATTATTATGTGTGAGCATCCAAGTGAAATAATGAAGCCCATTATTGTGACTGTCGTTTCGTTTGAGGGGGGAGGGAGGGGGGGTCAGGCCCGAAACTAACGGTCTTCGTTTCGGGGGCTTCTGCGAACTTTTGCGATGGTCCCATAAAGCCTAAATGTCTTCATCATCGTGCAGGCGGTCGTTCCATTTACCATGGCTGTAGACTATAGTGGTATAAGTATGGATAATACTAGCCATCGACCGTGAATCTGCACTCTGTTGTGCAGAATCTACATGTACTATGGATGTGGTCTTCGTTTTCCCTGACCTGACCATACAAGGACTACCCGGCCTGGATTTCGCGTCGTGTTTGCGATGATCAGGTCAGAATGTGCATCTAGATGTCTCGAGGATCTACTCAGTATCATCAAAGGCATTCTGCATTTCTGGTTCTGCACTCTCAATCTCATGCCAGTCATCTGCCTCTGGCCGCGCCACCATGATCACGGCATGGCCATGCACATGTCCAGACGTGATGCCCGATACGAGCGTTCTGATCCGGCTACCCGCAAAGCCGGTAAAACCTCCGTCACTCGCTTCAGGCCTAGTCTTGTTTTGTAGATGCAAAGCGGTTGTCTGAGCACTTGATTTTCCGATTCTGCTCCTTGAACTTGTTGAAGTTGAAGAGCTCCAGATCCCTGTGTGTCTTAGCTGCTCCACTCGGAGCTGCCGCGATACTGTAATGTGGTTAGTGATACGTTTGTCCACCACCATCGATCCATCAGCCCAGGATACGTCAGGACTGGGTACGGACATACCGTCGAGTCCAAAGGAATACTCCGAATAGCGAGACGTCCGCTAATAGTATTAGTAATAGAAAACTCATCATTCCGCAGCATGCTAGCAGTGGACAGATCCTCATCGCCCATAGCAATGAGGAGTCCTGGCGCTGCAAGTACCATTGGCATTGGGCGTTGCACTGTGCGAGAAGGCTATACTATAGCGCTGGTCCTGACTCAGCACTGGTGCGTGAGCGTGGTAGAGTGGTGTTGTCGAAAGCAATGTGCTTGTCAACGGTTGCGAAGAGAAGCAGAAAGAAACATGGTTACCTCTGCGCTGTGGACGACTGGATTGCTTGTGCTAGTGGTGTGCTGTTATAATGGAGCGTGCAGCGCTGCAGTGCCAACGGACCAAGCCACAGGCGAGAGTGCGGAGAACTCGTCTCTCTCCGGAACAGGTAAGGTTTCGCTGTTGCTGTGTCGAGGGCATTGGTTTGTCCGCACTTATGTGCTCGTGACAATTTGAATCTGCCAGTCACCGCCCAGTGCTATGTGCTTAGTCGGGGTAGTTGGCGAGGAAATAATTAGCATCCCTGGAACATTTAGGCTAGCAAGTAATGCACACGGTACCTGACAATGGCGCTAAAAGCCATTACCAGCACAACTTACTTGATGAGTGTACACGTGTATTAATCATGGGGTTAACCCCACACGGAATGCTACCCCGACATAGCCTTGCCTTCAACATAAGACTGACAACTACTCCAGGGCAAGAGGAAGTGAGGAAGCTCCAGACTGTCAATGGCAGTGTCACTCTTAGATACATGTATGGGAGTGTAGTGATGCACTCAAATCTGGCTATGGAGAGTGTGCTCCTTCAGTTTGCATACGTTGTCACTCAGTTTGCCTTACTTGGTTGCCTTACATGAGGAAGCAGGGCATATAGCAATCTGGAAGATTTACAAATATCTTGCAGAACCACAGAACCCGCTATGTCAACAATGCTTTCATGCTTGAGCTGCTGGTTATAGTCTGGTTCGCACTGGCAATGACCCTTCCCATGCTTCTGCACACACACACACACACACACACACACACACACACACACACACACACACACACACACACACACACACACACACACACACACACACACACACACACACACACACACACACCTCAGACCTCAGACCTGCCCATCGCGGAAGCGATGATAGCGAACAGCTATGTTAGACATAGCAACTTGTGCACACACACACACACACACATGCACACACACAAACACACACACACATATTGGCAATTTTTGTGTCAAATTGTCAACTGCATGTTCTTTAGCAGGGTCAGTAGCACATGTTCAGTATAATACTGGATGTAATAATGCTTCCTTGCAGTTATGCTACTCATCGGGCCATAACAGTTAGAAGCAGGAAACTGGCTTTGCAACACTGAGATTCAAGTGCTCTGTATATGGCACATGCTCATTGTACAAACACCGAAGCGTGAAGCACTTCTCTTATTTTCGCTTCACATAGTATACTGGCATACAGAGAGACATAGACGTCAGCAGTAACAGATAACGAATTGAAGGGTAGTTGGCCGCAGTCAGATGTGATGTGAACCGGATAACGACAGAGGTCTAGAAGCACAGACTGAGAACAGAATGCATCAAATGAAGAAAAGAAAAAAGTGTGCATGTGGATATCCGGAATCGGCCACGATTCAGAATCCTTGGGACAGTCAGATTAATTTACCTGGGCCGAGCCAGCCAAAATCCCTCGCGCCAACAGACGCAGTAATGTGGGAAATAACCGGGTGTATATCCGCAATGGCGATTTGACATCGTGGAAGCATGGCAAAGCACATCATAGCAAAAGGTTAGACGAAAATCAATATCAACTTAAGAATGAAGGGTGTGGATGTGTATTCTTGGCATGGTTCGCCCTTGCTACTGTTGCATCCTGCATCAGCTGTTCCTCCCAATGAGAAGATAAATGATTCAAGTACACAAAGTGTCTCCAAAGCCTTAAAACAAACATCGGCACTACTACTAGTATCCTGGGATACATCTGTGAATTTGTCCACATATCCTTGGCAGCATTGAGTAAGCATTGAGTAATCATTGGATTTCACTCTTTGCTATCAATGGTCAGTGCATACCCTGCTGGTCTGTGTCTGGCGCAAAATCCCAAGTGCCTGTACACGACACAATGGGCAGGAGCATGTCAGGTGCTTACCCATATCACACATATGCGGACACACTCTTGACTTCACTCTTCACCTAGTACCTCTGGTCCCCACCAGGTGGAACACTTCTTTGCCTCTGTGGTGCCTGGTGTGACGGTGTGTCCAAAGGTTGTATTCATCCGCTTCCCAGCTCAGTTCATGTATTGAGTATTGTTTCTTTTGTGTACTTCTGACCTGCAGATCGCCTGTGCATCAAGATCACAACCGACATATTGTACAGACCCATTATGTCTGTTCGACTGACACTGCCCACGAAACCACTGTCAACACTGATTGCGCTGGGAGAAACACAGCCACTGAGTGCGTCCCAGTTCATAAGCCAGATCACCATGAATCTGACTGCCACCTATTATCTGTGGAACGATGATGCCAACACTGGTATCGGCGGTAACGCCAGCACAAGCACTGGCACTGGCACGGCCATGGACAGCAACAGCGGCAATACCACCGTGAACACCACAGACACAATGAACAACACTGCGAATACCATGAATATCAGCAGCGAAAGTGGAGGGTTTGCCACCAGCAGTGACGATGATGTCTCCACCACATTGGTGCAGTTTTTAACGTTTCCCACTGAACAAGGCCCCAGACTACGCGGTATCAACTGCTCGTATGGCGAGTACCTTACGTGTAAGTACTGAGTCTTTGCAAGGAAATTATTATTATTGCCATGATAACCTAGAATGCACTGAAGGTATGGGCCGCTGAAAATTTCCAGATGTCAAACGAAAAGCATGACAGATTGAGCGAGGGCAGCGTGGATTGCAGCGGTCCTGCAAGGGCATTGCAAAAATCCCCATGTGTTTATCTATGTCAGGAATCATTCCCCCTGTGGCCAGCTTCACATGCATACCTGCCAAGTATCCAGATTTTTCGGGATTATCCTGCAATTTTGGATGAACTCCCGCGATCCCGAAATTCCTGTCGATTATCCCGAAATTCACTGTGCAAGAAACAAGCTTGATACTGTACTTGGAGCACTTCAAATGACTTGTCACAGGCCAGTAGTTGTCCTTTTTGATTCCGGACCACCATAGCCTGCAGTACCAGTGGATCTACTACGTGCTCCTTCCATGAACAGTCCCTGAAAAACCTCCGTTTTTGAGTCTTGAACATGCGTAAGTGTGATCCGATGATCACCATCAATCATCTATTATCGAAATGTTGGTGCCATCAAAAGTTGAAAATGGTTGTTTTGGAAAAAATATGACATACATGTATCCCGAAAAACCAAGGCAAATCCCGCGATTTTGCAATGGCGATCCAGTAAAAGCACTCTCAGTACTTGGCAGGTATGCACATGTACAAAACTCGACTGGCCAGAGTGCATAAAGTACGGAAACATGGCCCGGTGAGGTCTTTTAAAATATGTGACAAAAGGAGAAGGACAAACATGTTACAAGTTATGACTAACTGTCCACCAACGTAACCTGATCATAAGCAGCGGGTGCGACAAAATGGCACAAAACTGACAAGGGGTACCGAGACATTCAACGACATGACACCTAGCTCCAGCACTTCTCCCAGGCACAAACCAACAGGTAGTCATAACTCGTAACATGTTTGTCCTTCTCCTTTTTTCCATAATTAAATTGGCTCACCATTCGAGTTTGAATATGTGAACAATTGTTTGGGGACGAAACCCTCCAAAGCGGCAAAAAACGGGACGAATTGTGCCGTACGCGCTACTTACTTGCCATGTATATTAATCAAGAATTGGGGAAAGGATTTGCTCAGCCTTACCTATGTTCTCACGTAAAGTCCTACAATCCATTCTGCACTGTAATTCTGCATGTCAGCAGAGATACTGAGTAATACTTACGTCACAATCCGTCACAATTTATCACACAACTCGTCCTCTTTGTGGCTCCACGACGTATTGGCCGCTTTTAAAACCATCATTTTTGTCCTTCTTTTTGTCCTCTCCCTTGTTGTCCTTCCTCTCCTTATCGTTCCTTGTAGTAAAAAGAAATGATGATACTTGTGCCAGGCTGAGATGTGGCATATTTCCAGTGCCGCCAACTCAGGGGGAGACGGTTGTCAAAGATGTGGACCTTTCGGCATTGATTCGGGGACGCGGCGTGGACATTTCCTGTGACCCCGGCTATGCTCTGACTGCTATTGTGAACAAGGAGCTGTGCTTAGTCGGAGACTTGCAGACTGCATGCGTCACCATCCACTGCCAGAAACTACCTGCTGAACTGTACCCAACCGAGCCCGATGATCTGGATCTCCCTGGCTATGAGCTGGAAACGAAGAGTCTGTTTGAACTGTTGGCCGTGGAAGAAAAGTTCTCGTCGCGAGCCATTGAGAGCTCTCTCCGTGCCGCGCGCTATCTTTCAGATTACCTACGCAGTTACAGTGCAGTGGTACTTGGTAACCATGGTGATGAGGTGAGTGCGTCAATTGTATTCATATCTCTTTCCAGTGCCGCTTTGAACTGGGAAATATCCTGCAAACAGTTATGAGCAAATAGGACGTGGGAAGTATGCGTAATAATTGTTGGTATCATGGTCATGGTTCGTGTGACAGTCAGTCAGACTGACGTTTCCACAGCCGCAGCAATTCCGCCAAACATCCTCAAGGATTGAATTCTACATCCGCAGGAACGCCGCAAATTACTCTTAAATGGATAAAATTATACATCCGCTGCAGAAATTCTGATAGGTTAGTAAACATCCTCAAGGATCAAAGCGCAGATGCAGCTCCCAAAGCTGTGGGATGGGAGTAGATAAGACCCACCACCAATCCCGTTCTATGCTTCCATGTTTCTGTTCCCGTTCTATGCCTCCATGTTTCTGTTATGCCAGGCCAAGAGTTCCCAATTATCTGTGGGTCGCAGCACAATTGGAACCCCATCCGCCCCTCCACCCCTACCACCTCCTCCACCGTCAGCCCCTCCACCCCCACCACCCTCATCCCACCCTCACCCACTTCCAAGCAGGACTTGAACGTGGTGCCCTCTGTTTAACCAAAGACAAGTTGCTGAACCGAACATCTTTGTTCCCTTGCCTTCAAAGATTGATACAGGGAGTTTTGGAAACAATAGACATGGTTTGTGAATTACATTTTACGCTAAATACAACGGTACTCGCACCCAGCACTCAAAACACCGTCGGTTTGGTATCGTTTCGACGATAGAAGGCTCTGTTTACCTTCAGAACGAAACGGTAAGATTACAACTAGGGTGATGTCACAAGCCAATCGTTGCGTCAGAAACCGAAATACTAATCATGTCTTGAAAACACACAAAACACAGTACAGGCCCGACTGTCGAAGTTAGGGTGAACGGTAAAATACTAACCATGTTGAATATCAAAAACAGCGAGTAAATAGGGAAAAATGGTCATTGGGGACAACACAAAAAATTACACCTTTTTACTCTTGTCGCGTGATGAAGCAACAATTGCCTTACCATTTTTGTTGCTGTTTTTCCCATTGTTTTCCATATTCTCTGTATCAACCTTTGAAGAGAAAGGAACGAAAACGTTCTGCTCTCAAGTATTGGTTCTTCAAGACTGATGTGGTTTGCGACGACGCATGCACTACTTTATAAATTGGATACGCTTCCAAGTTTGTCCCTAAATGCTTTGCTTGCCACTGTTTGCTGCAGACGTCAATACCAGCGCAAGACGTGGGTGCCAATCCTGTGATGACGTCGCAGCTCATATTCTCAGCGTCCACTTTGTAAGAGGATCATTCTGTGATCATTCAGACCTTTCCTGAGATCAGTATTCAATCCTTTCCTAAGAAACTCCGCTTGGGGCGGGCGGGCAAGGAGGGGGGGGGGGGGGGGAGGGTTGGAACATATCACATTGAATATGCTCAATCAAACTGAATATGTTTATACATGTACCTGGCTGATCCATGTTTAGGGTCACAGTAAAGGTCCACAGGCGCGTACGCAGGGTCACCTCAAGGGGGGTTTCCAACCGAATCCCAAACAATGAGTTTTAAGTTTTAACCCTTTTAGAGCCCTAGGAAATTTTCAAAATTATGCATTTTTTCGTGTTGTTTGGATCATAAATTCAGTTCTACTCACTCAATCTTCATTATCTTGGGCTTCCTGGAAGTGGAAAGGTACCAGGGAGAGAATGAGGTCGACCATGATAGCCAGGACACAGTACAGTCATGTACATATCCAGCGCTATAGGCTATAGCGGTAGAGTGCAGCGACGGACCCCCCCCCCCCCCTTAGCGACCGGCGGATTCTGCTCGAAAAGGTGGCAGATTCTGCTCGAAGAGCAGTGAAATTGGCAGAACCATACAAAGCTTATGGCGGGCAATTCCTCGAATTCTGCTCCATTTCTTCATCCAAATACCAAACGTGCATGAAACTTACCAGAAAAAGTACCGAATTCTGCCAATTTGTCTGCCGGCAGAATCTGCCAGACCCTAGCAACGGTGCGAAAAATGCCCCAAACAGGCCCAAACGCGTCCAGCTCCAGCGATTTCGTTTTTCTTGATCGCAGAGTTTCGATTTTTTGCTGTGTACTCTTGAAAATATCACAAGTGAAGCCCCTGCAAATTTGAGCAAATCAGCGCGACGACAATCTCAAATTCTCGATACTCAAGTCGCACTGCGCGCTTTTGAAATTGCTGAGATCGCGGCTCAACTTACGAATGTTCTATCTTACGACACATTGCTCGCAGCGCTTCGCATATTGTTTCAACCGACAGCTGAGAGTTTTCTATTCGACCTGGATATTTGGATCATTGGATTTGAGCGAGATTTGACTGAGTTACGATCTTTTGAAGTTTTGCATTCTTGCCAGATCGATCATGCGCCCTATATGGCCTACTAAAAATGCCCAAAAACGTTGCTCGTTTGGAACATTTGGGGGGGTTTCCGGGCAACGGGACCCCCCCCCTGCATACGCGCCTGGTCCACAGCAAAGATAATGAGGTACATGTCATGCATATCTGACAACTGTACACCTGTAGTGCTGGGTATTCCTTCAATCTAAAACAACAAAGGAAGCCCAGACTCCACTCAGGCACAGCAACTAAACACGGCCAGGTCTGTTTCACGTGCGCGCGCACGCGAGAAACGGCACATGCTAGCTGCATAACTAACACAATGTACTGGTACTACTATCGTGGATGTCTGGGATGGCTAAGGAATGCAACAGCAGCGCACAGTGTAGATGTGCACACCTGCTCACAACTAGACACAAGACAGCTTGGAGAGTGTCATCGAACTGACCAACACTCAGCACTATCCAACACGGCTTGGTCCCGTGTGTTGCGAATTGGCTAGAACCCTCACTGCATTTGTCCGTTCTGTTGTGATCGCAGGGTGATCGACAGTCTTGAAGCTTTCGGAGTGGTCTATCCTCCTCTGGACCAGCTCTCATTGACGTTTGCTACAAAGCAAGTTTCCCAGACACTGATAGATGTTGTTGCCGATGAAATCAGTGGAGTGGTCTATTCCATTTATCCCAACTCGAGTGCGGAGACGGATATGTTAAACATTGACCTTTCAGCGGCCACACACGAGGCAATCCAGTACTCGGAATCCTCGAAGGAGAAACTTGTTTCCGAAGAAGAGCTCGAGGAAGTCTTCATGGCAGTAGAGGTAACCGCCGAGGCTCTGATGGTGTCGGGATGTCATGTAATGCAGCCTCCTCAATCGGATGCCAACTGCACACGGCGTATTCAAATGAACGTGTTTGAGGACGAGGCACTGTTTGCGACGTCACTGCGCGCATCCTACGGCAACGGCTCTGACATCGGTGTACTGAACAGTGCGGTGGTTGGCGTGGTGCTCAACAACTGGTCTGTGATACAGCTTGACGACCAGCAGCGCGCCATCAGTATTAAGTTCCTTCCGCAAAAACAGGTACGTGCACAGATCCACTCTGCTAATCTTAGGACACTGTATCCTTTTGAATTGAATCTTCGTCATGTGTACTTTGTATAGCACTTCGATCACCGATGTGATTCCAATGCCCTCTACTGGTTTATGTTTCCTGCTATTGAATAATTTGTAGAGTGGTGTCTCGCTCCTATTTGCTCAGCTTGCATTCCATTTTGACTGTGTGCTTTGTGCAGGCCACTGCAAGCGAGAGTCATCGATGTGTTTACTGGAACTTCACACACAATGGTAAGCCAGATACAAGTGACAACAAGTTGAAAAATTTCGAAACAAGCGATGATAGAAATGCACACAAAGCGTGCACTGGAGAACCACCACGTTGTTTTTGAAAGCCTTTGAAGTAGCGTACCTCTGCGAGGTTGCCCTTTGGATCCATCCTTGGCACACTCACGACTCTTGATATTTGTTCTAATGGCTTGCAATGAGTATATTGTCCAGCCACTCTGACCACTGCTGATGGGACGTCGAGTAAATACTAAGTACAGTCAACTTCGCTAATAACGACTTCGGATATAACGACAATTCGTGAATAACGACAGAATTTCCATGCCCAGCGCAAAGTCCCATCCCACTGTGATACATATAATGAGACTTCGGGTATAACGACACTTCGCGAATAAGGACACCTTTTTGATGCCCCGCCGAGTGTCGTTATAAGCGAAGTTGACTGTAGTCCCTTAATTAAGAAATGATGATTAGTTAGTGATATACAGTACAGGTTGGATTGTCAAAGCACTGCTCTAACATTCGTGGATTTTCTGGATTGTTCGTTCAGGAGGTCGAGGCGGCTGGAGTGACAATGGTTGCTGGTTGCATCATGTGAAGGCTGGCTATGTGACGTGCAGCTGCAATCATCTGACCAACTTTGCCATCCTGCTCACGCCGCATGCCGTCATAAGCACGGTACGGAGAGGGACATTCCCCTGTTGGACAGGCTGTGTGCTGGTCAAACATCCGTTCAAATCCATGTGAACATGTCACTTGTGGGCCCTGTGCAGTTGGTTTTTTGTTTGTACGAATGCCCATATAAATGTACTACGAAAACCAAAAAGCTTGCAGATACACATACACATACCGTAAAAGCAGAAATTTTTGGTGGTGTAATTTTTTCGGTATTCTCCAAATCGGTGGTTCGGTGGAGGGAAATTTTCGGTAAACCCGTTTTCCAGGTAAGTGTACTAGTACTAGTGCCGAAATTTTCGGTGCGTTTAATTCTAGGTAAAAAATTGTCGGCACCGCAGTTACCGAACATAGAACACCTGTTTGTTCTTCGACTCTAAATAAACCAAAAAAACCAAAAAACACCACCGGAAAGTTCTGCTTTTACAGTACATGCACACGAGTTGCACCATGGTGTCAACACATGATCACACTAATACTATGACAATTGTCTCCATTGTCCAGGAGCTGAGCATCGTCACATACATTGGTGTTGGCATCGCTCTGGTGTCTGTTCTGCTGACGATGCTCATTCAGCTACTTGCTGTCTATTCTCTGGATCACGGCAACGCAAAGTGAGTGATCATGTCCATGTGAACAGCATTTGAATGCTCTTTGATCACCGGTGTGAACGGCCGTCCACTATCTGCACACACCCATACGCCCACACAAACCCATACACACTACCACACACACACACATGAACGCACGCACACGCGCGTGCACACACACACACACAAACTACCACCACTATCACCACCACATGCACTCACACACGCGCGTGCGCGCGCACGCACACACACATTTATACTTCAAGTACACACAGTGACTGGATTAAAAAAACTCAGAAATTTGACGAGTTGCAGCCCATGCATCACCATGGTGAATGCACTAACAGAATTTGCAGCTACGATGCCACTCCAAATAGTGGGTTGTTTTGTTGTTAATGTTGCTGCTGCTGCTGCTGCTGCTGCTGCTGCTGCTGGTGTTGTGGTTGTTGTTGTCGTCATTGTCGTCGTCATTATCATCGTCATTGTTGTTTGCCTACACTACAGGGTTCAGGATTTGCTCCATCAGTGCTTCATTCTCTTTGGTCTCTGTGTACAAATCGTGGGTGCCCACGCCTTCTTCCTCGTCCAAGCAAACTCTGAGCCAGGGCATCTGTCCTGCTGGATTTCAGTGGTTGCCGTGCACTATTTTGCGCTTACGATGTTCTTCTGGACTGCTCTGGAAGGCTTTTCCATCCACCGCGGTGTTGCGAAAGCTTTCGATGCTCCACCGAGGCACTTCAAGAGCAAATCGATGCTATTTGCACAAGGTGAGCGCTAACACTTTGATCATTTAGATCAATTTGAGTTTTCAGCTCCCTCAACCTAATGAAAATTTTACATTTGTCTTCTTTCAAAGTAGAAAAGAAAAGGACATATGGAAACGAGTTAAGAGTAACTCTCCACCACTGTAACTAGATACTATATACAGTCAGAAAGTGCAACAACTAGGCACAAAACTGACAGAGTAGTGAGACATTCGACGTCCTGGCACCTAGCTTCAACACATGTCCGTAGCGCTAACCGACAGCCTTCCAACTCGGAAGGTTTAAGGTTATGGAGAGACCAAAGAGGGGAAGGTAAGCACGACGAAAATGAGCACAAGCCAGTGGCGTGCACCGAGTCTTGAAAGGGGGGTTTCTAGAGTTAGTAAATTTTTTTCTGGAGACCCACTGTATAATTATGTATTTGTGCACATGCGCATCCCCCGAACATCCTGTCGTGGATAATGGTAGTTCACTAGTCCACTCCAGGCATGTTCGTTTCATCAAAGCACTGCTTACATTTTCGACGTATTTATCTTTCTTTCTGTTCTTATGACGAAGTTTTCAGCATGTGTTATTGGCAATGTTCCACATGATTTCAATAAAGAGTTATGGACCTTGCTTCGATGGAAACTCGCGGAAGAAAAGTGAAGCCCCGCGTCCTTGAGTCGCGGCCGGAGCAGCGCTTCGTTCTGAAGCAGCGCAAGTGGATCATGGACGCACATGTTTACGTCTTCCAGTCGACAACGTTTTTGACGAACATCTCTGCTGTGCACATGAGCGAGAACGAAAGGCTGTGGAGATCTTGATTTGAGTGAACAGTTTGGAAGGAGATATCGTCAATCATATCCTTGAACTGACTTGCATCGCGCGTGCTTGACTCAAATTTCGAGACAGAACGGATTTCTTCAACGTCAACGCCAATCCAGGAGCGGACCAGAGCTAGAGATCGATCTCTCCGTGGCTACTCTCCACTGAAGAAAGAGAGAATAATGTATTTTGAACTGCATGCAAAGCAACTCTCTCTCTCACTTCGAAATAAGGACATAGTCACTGTTCTGTAAACTGTCCGTTGATCGACGTGTATGCACGATAACCAATCCAGTAGGCACGCTTTTCCTTTGGCAAGATCGCCCGAAAAAAGGTGGTTTCCAGACTCCAAAAAACTCATACGGTGCACGCGCCTGCAAGCTACAGTCCCAACGGAACAAAGAATGTCGATTGTTACTGGACGATGACGAGACCAGTAGGATACTTGAACACTTTTTTTAACACAATGCCAAAATGCTTACCTTCCCCTCTTTGGTCTCTCCATAGGCTTGAACCTTCCAAGTTGGAAGGCTGTCGGTTAGCGCTATGGACATGTGTTGAAGCTAGGTGTCAGGACGTCGAATGTCTCACTACTCTGTCAGTGTTGTGCCTAGTTGTTGCACATTCTGACTGTGTATAGTATCTAGTTACAGTGGTGGAGAGTTACTCTTAACTCGTTTCCATATGTCCTTTTTTCTTTTCTACATTTATTATTGGCTCAATACCCGAGTTTCGAATTGCACACCTTCTTTCAAAGTTTTATTATTTCCGCTTTCAATTTGGAAAATGAAAAAAACCCTATAAATTTGTGGTAGCAATGTCCCCATAGATCAGGAAGAGTTCTTCCAAAGGGTACGTTTCCCCAGAAATACAAACTTTGTAATCTGGAGCCTTCTTTGTAGTGATTAGGCCTATTCGGGTAGCGTTGGTCTAAGGTGGCTTGTTTATGTGCATTTTGTTAGGTATGCATAGCTGAATGGAAGCTGTGCTTCGAAATTCAAGTTGAAAGTGTACTGATCGGGTGCATTTACTGTGCTGTGTATTTTTTTGATGTCAGGAAGGAAAGCGGGAAGGTAAATAATGAATACAATCAGCAGAATGATATTCTGCCATTCCACTCATGCCATACTTTCAGATTTCTGGATTTTCATGCATGTGCATACATGTTGAACTGCAGGGCTACCAGCAGCCATCGTAGGAATTGCTACAGGACTGACGCGGACATCCTATATCGACGCAGAACGGTATGTGTGTGGATGTGCGTGTGCGTGCGTGTGTGTTTGTGTGTATGTGTGTGTGTGTGTGTGTGTGTGTGTGCGTGTGTGTGTGTGTACGTGGAAAATATGTGGGTGCACATCCAGTGCATTTGTAGATTTGCGTGCTTCTCTTGCGACGGGCGTATACATGGTACATGGTACATGCGTGCGTTGTGTGTGTCCTTTGTTTTGCGTGTGCATGCGTGTTTGTGTGCATCTGCATGTGTGCCGCTGAGAAACACTTGCTTTACTGTCTACTCACCCTGAATTTGGGTGGAATAAAGCAGGAACAAAGGGAAGCTGGGAAGAGGATGTCATTGCATGATTCAGTTCTTGAAAATGGAAGGTGAAAGGACCTCTAGTGCATATTTTGATATACATGTACTTGGTCCGCGTCAGCAATATTGTCGCTTATCTTTCGACAATTTGAACTTAGACTTAGGACATCAACGCGTGCACTTGAAGTGATAAAACTTGGTACGATGGAAGGTAAGGTATAGAATGACAACTAGCTACGAGGAATTTATTGTCCGAGGAAGGGTTCATACTTTTTCGGTCCTCCTCGTCGCTGCTCTCGGCGCTGGTGACAGATATTTTTGCTCGGGATCGACTCTCTTGCCTTTGCAAGCTCATCTCTTGTCCTCTTCGCTGCCTGGCTATTTTCTAAAAAGAAGTCGATCGTGAGGATCGCCTTCTCTATAGGACTTCGTGTCGGTAGCACGACAGCCTGTGTGGTTCAAATCAGACGCCATTCTTTGCAAGATTTCATTGTGAACGACGACGACGACGCGTACAGTACATGTACTTGCAAATCTCCACGACGCGCTGGATACTCCAAGCGTTGAGCTGGAGGTAAGGGAGCTGCGACCTCAGCTTGACGAGCGATCCCTGAGGTGAGTGATCTTGGCTGTTCAGCAAAATGGAGCTGATTCCGAGTAGCCGATTATTTTCTTGCGGCTTGCGCTGCTCTTGCCTGCACAGCGTTACAAGATAATCTATTTTGATGCGGCGCTGTATCAATCAAAATCACCCACCCGTCGCTCTCGAAATCCACTCGAAATCTAGCTAGACCTTTCAGGTACTAGCAAACTAACCTTACTAACCAAAATTGGGATGAAATGGGCTGCCAAGTGAGCATTGGCGACATATAAACAAAGCTGAAAGATAAGCGACAATATCGCTGACGCGGACCAAGTAGACGTATTTGGTGAGAGATTTTGTCTTTGTCCTTTTCCCCATTGCAGCTGCCGCATTGACCAGGGGGTGGTGTTCTATGCTGCCTTCTTGGCACCCATTTCGTTGATGATCCTGTTCAACCTACTGGTCTTCATACATGTCCAGTGGACATTGCACAAGGTTGCAAAGAGAATCGCCAAGGAGAATCAGAAGATCGGACGGCATGCTCAACGGGTCCGTGCCGCGATGGGAATCTTCTTCATCCTGGGCCTGGGCTGGCTGCCTGGCTATGCGCTGGTCGCTCTAGACAAGCCGCTGGAAGTAATGCAGTGGGTGTTCAGTATACTGGTCACGTTCCAAGGTGTGGTGCTCTTCGCCACACAGGTACAGAGCAAGGGACAGCTTGTCCAACGCACCATCAGCAACGTATCGCTCAAGTCTATGATGGTGGCCAGGTCACAGCAAACCTCGTCCAGCAGGAAATCCTCCTCGTCAAAGTCCTATTCGCAGGAGGAAGCGCCGAACCCAGCCGTGCGGTGTAGCTCTCCAGCGCCCATCAAGTACGCGCGTGGCCTCTCCGATCTCACCATCCTGCAGGACAAGACATCGCTGCAATCTGCACCGACGCCCGATCCATCTGACACGGGTGATGCTGACTCACAAGGGAGCACAAGCGCTGGCAGCAAATCGAATAAATCCACTCCTAGCAGTATACGACGGGTTGTGGAAGATGAAAGCGGCGAAGATGAGGAGCGAGAACATTGCCGAGGTTCATCATCATCATCATCATCATCATCATCATCATCAGTACCTTCCAGCAAGACGGCATCGCTTGATTCAGCATCCTCCACTAAGCCACTAACAGGCCGGGAGAGGTGAGATGATGCGGTCAAGTTTACTCGTTTGTCCTGTTTTCTTCTGCTCATATGTTATGGCATAGTTTGCCATGTGACTCCTTAACTCTCCTCCCCCCCCCCCCCCCCACACACTCCCCTATTCGACAGGCCCCTACATAGTGGGTGCAGAGAAAGCCACTATATTATTGATTTCTGTGCGTATCAATATTGATTGCTCAAAGTGGTGCAGTGTCTTGATAGCTTTGGCTTCTGTAGATGTTCGGTAACGTTTGTCTAATATCTCGACTTGATCTAGCAATGTGATTGAAAGTTATACATTGATCCTTATAAAGCATGGTTTACCACTCCATCCGGGTACATGTACGTTGATGACCAATATATTTTTTATAAAGATAATTCGACACCTAATCCAGGTATATTTCGGGACAAGAAGTGACTGGTGTCAAATCTCCAATCAGCATAATTATCTATTCACTTCATCACATGCTTCTAATTATTGTGATGTCTTCTCTATTACTACTTTGTGAAATACTGCACGGCATGTACCATCTTGTATATTATTCAACTGACTTGTAGCTACAGTTTTTGACGGGCGGTTACTGCCGTGATTCGTTTGGTGTGGCCAGGACCTGTGCGCGGCTGTGTGACAGTGGTCCGCTACTATGCTGTCCGAATGTGTACTCTCGACACCCACGGTCAACTGGGTACTCACTACTCGGAGTGAGGGTAACATGGATGCAGCTAACGAGGTTAGCCCCCTTGTCGGGCATTGGTTGTGAGACTTACCACCTCACCCTCGCCGTTAGGCGCTGCATCTGCCACCCTGGTATCACAGGCATGGTGGTGGCCTGGCACATGCGAAACTTCCTAAGCTGGTTGTGTTTCTCAACGCAATTGTATAGCCGGTGGTAACGCGGACGTGCGAACTTTACTTGTACTTACTCTCGATTTATAATTATACCCTATCATTAGGTAGTGCTAGCAATGAGCCTTGGCAACGGGATACAGGATTGCTCTATAAAAGTATGAGACGATGCGGCTCTATACTGTCAGTAGCTCTTATCTCTCCACGGTCGGTCCATGAACCATGCCGATGAACCGTGGAGATAAGTAATAATTATAATTAAAGTATGATGGACATGACTGTTTGCCCTACTAGTACTAGTCACGGACCGGTGGTCATTGTAGTGACTTTGCAGCTGGGAGTCGTGTAATACCGACTCCCAGCGCATGTGAGATCACAATCCGAACACTCTGCTTGATTTGTTTCTTGGATCATGGAATCCGTCAGAATCCGTGCAATCCGGATCCGGTAGACACGTTGTGTGACACTTATCGGAAAGAAAGTATTTCATCAGCGGAGCGTTCTTGCACACCAGAAAAGGCACTGGCGAACGAAGGCTCAAGTCTGTCAAGAGTTTGTCTGAACCCCGAGCTCCTTGGTCAATGCAAATGACCAGGTGACTTTTCCCCTCTCTACAACCTACACAATGCTCGACTCTGGTGAAAGACTGCCCATGAAGAGCCTCAGGAAGGAGTCGGAAAGAAATGTGTCCACTGTGATGTTGGTCACGGTAGATTGTCCTCCATCATACTTTTGGCTTTTTTTCATTTGATCGCCTGCACTTGCCCGCTAACGTAGTCAACACACGTCTGAATAGTGAATACAGTAGATCTACAAGGGCAGGGTGTCCTGGCAATGGCATGTTCGTCCTCCAGGCCTGCTTTGAGGAAGGTATGTGCATATTTACGGTCAGAAGTACTTCGAAGTACATGATTGAGTGTTACTTGAAGTGAGTTCGTACACGCCTGTGGACAAGTGCTGCCAGTATTGACTGGACACCTGGACACGGGGAGCAGATGCTGAGTTGGTGGTGGAGATTATACATAGCTACATGACTGTACAGGATCTTAGTCTATATCATGAGGGAGTCGTATAATACTAGACTAGTCTATACGACTCCCTGGTCTACATTGTACTTGACACTGTCACACAAAGTCAGACATTGCTGGAGAGACTCAGACTGGGAGTCTCACCTCAGAGTATCGTGGCCCAGGATCCTCTCGGGTCCCACTTATTCTTTGTAGAAAGCTTGAGGGCACGGTGTGGTGTTGTCGAATAGAGAAGTCGTGCACATTCCCTCCCCTCTGTAGATCTACGAGATACCCGAGACTGAGATGGCTGTCACTACCAGCGCCACCAAGCAAGAACCGCGAAACTAAAGTGTCCCGACGGCGAACACTTGTCGCTTTTCTACTATTCACAGTTTGTCACCAAAATGCAGTTTCCTTTCACCCATTTCCTCAGAAGATTTCTAGTTTCACGAAGATCTACCACGTACCTGTAGCGTGACGAGAGAAATTTGTGTCGATATGGCTAAGAAAGGAATCTTTGCGGGAAAGCGTCAGAAATACGTTACGTAGATCTACGAGCTACACTAGTCACTACTGCTACATGTACATCACCATGATCACCGTCATCAGTCACTGACTGTGCCATCTTCGCTTTGAGATGTGTTACTGTTACAGTGTTAGTGTTAGCACATCGTTTCTTCCTTTGCCAGTTTGGTCATCAGGTAAACACACTGCTACCGTGTGCAGACTTCTTTGTAGTGTGCACTGAACTACCTATTCTAGTTACAAGCCGGTGATCAGTATCTCCATCATTAATTTTTTTGTTCTTTGTAGACCTACTCGCAGTGTCTTGTCCGCAACGCGTCGCCGTCGGTCTGGACTTCGCCGGAATCCACATCCAGCACGCACACCTCCAGCACTTGTCTCCTTTCCGACCGTTTGCTTTACTATGAGTATGAGCGCCTGCATTCCCGTGTAGAACGCCCTGACCGACTGTCCGTTCGAGGAAGGTGCTCATTTTACTGGCTATTTCGAGGCTTGTGTCAGAAAAGTTCTTTAGCCTTTTAGGCCGCGGAGCAACAATATTGATTTACATTGTTGGGTTCATCGGTATATCGCCAGGCTGTGCTTCCAGCCAGAGCTACCAACAGCGACTGGCTGGTAACAGTATTATTGCTCACCGCTGAGCTGGTGAAGATAAGTGGTGTGGAGGCGAGAGCAGCAAGTCGGCCTGTGCCGGATTCCGGGTCTGAGTTGAGTGGACAGCACTGGGCAGGCATGACGGATCGATCTGCAACCGGTTAGTACACAATAGGGCTCTTACTCTTAGTATTGACACCCATTGATCTTTGCTATACCGAAGGAGTCAAATATTCATTTCCGGTTATATTGGCTGCTTATACCATGGTACGGTACGGAGGGCCTGTTTTCAGCCAATCAGCGCTCGTCTAGCCATGGTTATATTGGCCAGTATAAATCCCGCGCGGGATTTATATAGAATATAAATCCCGGTGCACGGTACGTACGCTAGGGCACTGCCACCGTACATGTTCACTGCCTGAAAGGCAGTGAACTTGTACGGCGGCAGTACTCCAGCGCACGGACCATACATAAACAGACACAACGGACACCACATGCACGTGTACACACCACACAGAACGGCACACTGACGAGGAACAGTACACAATGGAAAAGAAGAATGACCTGGAATTCGTCTACAGAGTATTCTGTTATACTGAATCTGAGGATAAAGAACGTCGAATAACCACGAAGTATCCCGAATGGGTCAGCAATGTACATTGTACTTCGAAGAGTTGAAGATCATCAACAGACTGTCTCCTTCGTAAATAAGTTTATAATACCAGTGTACATGTACTTCAGCCCGATTGGAAAAGGCTACAATAGATTGGATTGAAATGTGATACAAAACAGTGCATGCAAATGCATCTACTTGCAAGCAAAACTGATTATAAGATGCCGCATGTGAAAATCAGCACTGTACCATAATTATAGTAACACTTACTCCCAAAGAGTCTGTAATCTAACTAGTGACGGTAGTTTGATTCAACGACAAACTCCAACACCGCAGCAATTCAGTCGACTTCCGCACCGCTCACGACTCAAGACAAGATCATGAAGATGCTACAATATGCACTGGTACTGAAAGGAAATCTTATGCCAAACATCCACGGAGGAATCTCCTTCTGACCTTGCTCGACCATTCTTTCAACTAACAACTGATAACCATCAGAAGATGTTCATATACTGCATGATGTAGGAGATCTCCAAATAGGTTCGTTGTTCTGGAAATGCGTAGGGGTACCTGGCATAAGTAGGATATGACCCTCGTAGTCGGGTTATACCGTACCCTCATATAAATCCCTCCTGCTATCGCAGTCGGGATTTATATTCAGCCGGTATAACCCTCTGACTCGGGTTATATCCTCTACTTATATTTGACTCCTTTTTAGGGCTTGAACACAGTCTAGTCATGCTTTGGTTTGTCGTGATAAATATAATACCGTAGAATCCCGCGGATAAGCCCACCTGCATATAAGCCCATGCTCGCGCATAAGCCCAGGGAAAGCTCGAACATCACAAAGCTTCACCATACAAGCCCACGGGCCTAAATTGTAGCAAAAGTCCATAAATTATGGACTCTTGATCGTACCATGTACGTACAGTCCATTTCAAAACTATAGACGCGCAGTGTTTTTGAAATAATTATTTCAAATTTGGCTGGAACTTTTTGTGAATAGTTTTCGGAATATTGCTCAGGACCGCTCCACAATTACTCTCATATAGTTTCTAAACGATTGGATAACAGACGCCCAATTTGGAAAAATTTATGCACATAGTGATCACAGATTTTATGTGGTATAGATGCTGGCATAACGGTGTTTGCCTAGGTACGCGTCAAGTATAGTTTTGAAATGGACTGTAGTCATGTAGTTTTTTTGTTTTGTTTGTACATTTAAACACAATCATCGGTTGTTTTTGTTTGCACAGTGGCTTTCACCAATGCACTTCTCAATTCCTTGGTACTTTTCAATAGCACAATGTTGGTGTCAGCGTATAAGCCCATGCCCGCGTATAAGCCCATGTTCTTGTATAAGCCCACCGAAATGTCCTTGTGAAACAGACAAGCCCATGGGCTTGTCCGCGGGATTCTACGGTATTGACTTCGTACTATTAGGTCAATACGGGAAGTAAAACCTCGTAAAAAGACCTCGGCTCCACGGCTTCTATTTCCTATATTGGTCTCGTACACGGTCAATATTATTAGACACACATCATGCAATCATAGTAATGGTCGTAGATTAGGGGTGTGCGGATAATGCTCGAAAAGGTGGCAGATTCTGCTCGAAAAGCAGTGAAATTGGCAGAACAATACAAACCTTATGGCGGGCATTTCCTCGAATTCTGCTCCATTTCTTTATGCACATACCAAACATGCATGAAACTTACCAGAAAAAGTACCGAATTCAGCCAATTTTTCTTCCCGCATTATCCGCATATGTCTATCGTAGATGTTATCACCAGTCCATCAGTATCAGTGCCAAGTTTGAGTCGTATACCATTTCAGCATACAGTAAAACTGACTAACGACCACCCCCTTGGGGCCAGAGAAAGCGGTCTTTAGTGGCAGGTGGTCCTTAGTTAGAGGTTTGCAGCGCACAACCATAATGAATGTGAGACCGTCTGTGCCTGGCGAAGTGGTCTGTAGTACCAGGCTGGTTGCTAGTCATGGTGCTGGTCTTTAGTTACAGGTTTTACTGTATGTAATATTCAACATGTCCCAGACCGTGCTGCACTGTGCCTCTTCTCGGCAATGCTGTCTCGGGGAACGGGGTTTACCAAACGCTGCTTTCCTGCTAGTTCTCAGCGATATTGGCACTGAGTAAATGACACATGTTCAACCAAAACCTGAAAGGCTGCACATGCTGGATGAAATTTTGTCTGAAGTCCAAAATAGCACTGATATTTTTAAGTAAACAGGTTTTCATTAAGCGAAAGGTTTATTTGTGAATATCGTGTTATAACTTTTGTAGGGGTGAAAGGATTATGTGGTTTAGTCGATAAATTAGTCGAAAAAATCTAGTCGCATACGATTTTTCTTATCGCTACAGCATTTTCGTACGACATACTATACGGTACGACGAAATATCCGACATGTGCAGTGTGTCTACATGACTTTACTGCGTGCAGCACATGTACCAGAGTATGAGTGGATGCGCGCGTGCAGCGCTCACAGCGAGTTGCTCATGCTCTGGATACACACTACACGCGTAGACTCTACCCGGTAGATCTACCTGATGTACTCTCTAGATCTATTGTATGACACGCAGCTCTTTTCTCTGCACCGTGCACTGATTCGTACCCGAGAACTTTCGTTCCGGTTGCTTCACGGAACTCACTATTCTGGACAAGTAGCCTTCAGAATCAGTTTGTGCCTGTGCAACGGTCGATGTTTCCTTTATTTTTGTTCTCTTCGAAGTTCCAAAATTGATTGTAGTTGATGCAAAATGGTGAGTTTTTTCGTCAGTGGTGCTTAATCGATAATAATCGATAAGTAAGCGATAAGTTTTTGATTAACCATTAAGGAATACCCCTTAATCCTTTCACCCCTAAACTTTTGGAGTGTGTTTCCAGATCAATATTTAGAGCCCGACAACAACAGCAGCAACAACAACGGCGGTGGCAACAACGACAACAGTAGCAGCAGCAGCAGCAACAGCAGACAAAAATGGATTTTTTGAAAACATCACAAAAAATTCACAATTGAGCCACAATGCACTAAGTCCAAACGTGGACAAAAACAAGCTATGAGTTTGAAGAGGAATGTGTCCACTAAATCGGATGCATAGTTATAATATCCAATTGTAATAAGCATGAGTCATGTGCTGTGCTGAGGAATACAAGTGCTAACTCTGAAATACTACAGAAACCGTTGAAACGAAGCAGTAAAGATGGGGAAACATGAACGCCAATGGTGGAACGGCCACGGGTAATATTCTACATGCATGTACGTCCATGTACTTGAAGCAAACACTTAGAAAGTGAATATGCAACACTGCTTGGGACTGGAAAGGGGTGCTGCCGGTACTCACAAGATAATTCTAAGAGCGATAGCTCCTGATGAAGCCAATGACTGAAATGGTGTTGAAAACAACACTATACAGAAACAAACCATATGATACAAATGATGTACATGTGCTAGTATTCTACAAGTACTTCGAAGTAGTATACATGTAAGCCACAGATAATTCCAGTTGCTACTTCCATGATCCATGCATCCATGCTTAACCCTTGTGCCAGGCCAGAAGTTCCCACACAGCATGGTTGGTAAATCCTCCACTTTGGAGCATGCAGTAGGCTTCAACCGGGTGCTTTGATTCTTACCCATGGTCTTGGACCAACTCACCATGACCGCCTGCCTCCTGATGCACACAATTATAATCATAATTAATTCTGAAGACTTCAAGTTCTGATCCTAACAGGTATAGGACTGCTATTGTTTTGGTGGAAATAGTCAAGTGCACTGCAAACTTTGTGTCCGGTTGGCATCCAAACTGATCAAGCCAGCAATCATGAATTAGTAAGTTAGGCCACATTGTAAAAAGGCAGTAAGTACCCTGCGTATTCGAAGTCTGACAAAACTGACACCTTCAGCATCAGCCTGAGAGCCAGTCAGAGTCTTTGAGTATAGAGTTGAGTGGTCTTAAATCCAAGAATGCTGCAACAAGGTGCTCCCCACTTAAACATACTCTAGAGGACTAATTGGCAACCTTGCATTCACTATCCAGGTGCAGTGTGTCATGTAGGTCACAAATACATTATCACTTCCCCATCTGGAGGGAGTACATCAGTACTGAATTTACTCCAAGTGGAGCATTGCAGTCACCTGGCCTCAATGAGCAGGATGTGATTTTAATTTATTTTATTCTTGTGCCACTCTCCTATCTAGAGAAGATGTGTGTGGCGTTGCTTGACGTGTGCTTCAACCTCCCACTCGTGCAGCTGCTAGTTCATCTGCCATCTGCAACTCGGAACCTTTCATTGTCGGATACTGTAATAGCCGGGTCACAGTGCAGTCCACAATACCAGAATTCCGATACCAACTACTCCATAGGCAATGCTAGTGTTCTGCTTGGATCAGCGGACAACAGTAGACTTCTTTCAGTCACTTGTAGGAATCAAGAACTCTTGGAGAGCAACCAATCAATCGAAGGCTTCCTCTCACGTATGTGTTTGCTTACTAAATTAAAATATGGTGCATCTTGATCATGATGATTATCGGCATGTGAGCCTGTAATGTTGTGCACTTTGTAAGTGTGTACTGTAATCCATCGGTACTTTGATACGGTATGATGTGTTAGCATATTTTCCAGAGTTATATAAGGCATAAGCCCGTGTAGTGCCTCCCCGGAAATCATACTGCAGATTTCTGATATGTATGTCAAAATGCTCGAAATTGCATGCTGACTATTATTGCACATGTTATTTGCAACAACGAAACATAGGTGGCCTGAACAACGAAATCAGTTCATTTCATCAAAACATTGGATCGACACAAAGTCATTGGACATTATTTTCATCTTCTACAAAGTTCTCAGAGTGAAGCAGTCTTCAATCGCTGCGGCTGACCTGAAACAATTTCGACGGAAAAGAACAGCGCTGCCTTCTCTGCGTCGTGAAAGCCCGTCGAAGAGCAGCACGTCGTTCTGAAGAACGGAAGTGGAGCATAAGCATAGGCAATTTTGAAGACGTCCAGTTGTTGTTCAGTCCCAAACTTCTCTGCACATGAGCTGGCATGCATGGCACGGCATGACAAGCCATTGCAGGGGCGGATCCAGAATTTTTCCAAGAGGGGGGGGGTTCAATTTTTTCCCATCCTACCCACAATGACGAAATGAAAATTAATGATGTATAACAAGTTAAGACGTTTGCGTTATCGGTACAGCACAGCCCACATGTTATCGGTACAGCACAGCCCACATGTTATCGGTACAGCACAGCCCACATGTTATCGGTACAGCACAGCCCACATGTTATCGGTACAGCACAGCCCACATGTTATTGGTACAGCACAGCCCACATGTTATTGGTACAGCACAGCCCACATGTTATCGGTACAGCACAGCCCACATGTTATCGGTACAGCACAGCCCACATGTACTGTATATTGCATCCTGTACTTGAACATGCCAGCTGCTATACAAATGTAGCTTCTGTACCCCTATTTTCAACACTCT